ACAAATTTACATTCGCTGAGTAAAGTTTTTAAGCTACAACTCCAAGTAACTAACAAAAACTAACAGAGTGTTCATCCTATTCAATCATACTTAAGAATACATATCAATTGGATGGATAGAAGGTAATGCTCATGTTAGATTCATTGCCATGTTCCATAGCCATTTGAAATGGCCCTAAAATGAATCCCCTTTCCATCTTTTTTTTCTTTTTATATATTCTACATATTCCATAAAAAATGCTCAAAAGATAATCATCAGGTTCTCCACTACAGATTAAGCAGCAGGTGAACTGCACTTTAAACCAGTCTCATTGTCCACGAATTGCAAATCCAGTTCCATGGCCAAAAGATAATTGTAAACTGTGTATGAGTTCTATTTATACTGAAGCTGTACTCCTTTTTGTAATTGAATGAAAGTAGAATTACATTCTCCATTTCTGATTCCTGAACTAACATTTATGTAAACGAATATAGATCTCAACATAAAAAGGTAAAATTGTTATTAGATCCGTCACTATTCTTCTTCACTTTGTTTTTTAAATGTCTAACTTATTCTATGCGCACTATTATTTGAAATCAACCAAGATTCTTTAATGTTTAAAGCTTCTTAATATTGTAAATATATTTTTACGTCATCCTCTACAGTTGGCTCATCTTTGAGATTGGTAAATTCATGAATTAATGTCAGCAAATCACATACCCTAAAATCTAAATCTTAGATTTGGAGATATATAGATCTTCCGACGCAGTGGTAGATGGTGATGGTGGGAATGATGAGTGAACGGCGGCGACGACAATTGAGGTGCAATGGTAGTGATTAATGGTGCTTGGGGTGGGTTTATCCAAATTCCAATGCTGGGTTTTGGCATAAAGCATGATTCCAACTGCGATGTGCTGTTTGTCTCGAAGAAATGGTTTTCGAGTGGCTGAAGGTAGTGACACTGGGTGGGAAACAATGGAGCGAGAGACGACGGATAGAGTTTGGTGTTGTAAATGGTACGTTTCCGAGGAGGGAGGAAATGAGGGTTGGGCTTTGGTTTTAATAATTGGACGTAATTAATACTTCATTAAAATGTTTAATTAGAGTTTAAGGGTATTAATCAAAACATATATAAAAAAAGGGTGCTGGGCCTAATATTCCCTAATTCATTGGGGAAATTAGGCTCACTACTCTAAAAAAATGTCTAATTAGATTTATACCCTAACAATATTAAAACATCTTTAATACGTTCATAAAACCCCAAACTTATAAAGCCAGTTTCTCCACCATCTCTACCTCCATCTATAAATTTTCTCCAGACTCTGTTTTCCTAAACCACAAGCAATAACATTCAGCAAACCACGGTTTCTATACCCTTAAACCCCAAAATCACCACGCTCTCTGCTATCATTAAAAAGTCCTCAAATCTCCCATCCACCAGCTTTGATGCTTGTTCAGCATAGCACCTCAGCTTTCCTCGATTGTCTCATCAGACATTGGATAGAAGTAAAGATGTAGTAAATGGATTGGGTTTGTGCTTAGGCTTGGGCTTGCTGGTGGTAGTAGGTGATGGGGATGGAGAAAGAGGAGGGACAACGATTGTGTCCGCGGTGTGGAGAAGTGGCGGTGACGGGATTTGGGGGGGTGACGATGAAGGGGGTGAGGATCGTTAATGGATCTCTTATTTCCTGAACAATTGTTTCCAATTGGGAATTGCAAAAGAAATTTTCTAACTTATTAGTGGTTTTGTCTAAGTTCAGAAGGTGGTTTGCATAATTTCTAACTCAACTAGTGTTGCTGAGGTGTTCTCCAAGATTGATCATAAATTTGACTTGATGTATGCCAGGCGTGCTTTCGTGCACTGGTACGTCGATGAGGGCATGGAAGAAGGGGAATTCTGAAGACGAAGAAGGCAAGGACTATCAGGCAAAACTCCTGAATGACCAAGCTAATGTTCTCATTGGTGATTTACTGCTTTTAATTTTCTATCTGGATTGTTGCATCAAGCTTTCTATGTCTACTTTGTTGTTTCTTCTGTCTGGAAAACATTTGCTCTAATGCATTTCAATGTAATATATCAATTTTTTGCTTCTAACAACTGTTTCTTAGCACTGCATTTGTGATTAAAATCAGATTAGACCGTCTAATTCAAGTTGAAAATTGACTGATCAGAAACTGGATTGGCTGGTAAAATCTAGTGACAAGACAAGCCAAGCCAAGATCTGATCCTCCGACTTGGGGCTTATATGACAACAATTTTCCACTAGGATCAATTCATATTATAATGGACCTTTCATATTATTTATCGATGCTAAAATATAAAACTCTTCAGTAGAAATTTCTTACACTATTGTCCAGCCCAATGTTCTTGCAATGAAAAATTTGATCCCAATTGTTGCAGAAGGAGGAAGGCCGTGAATTTCGTCAGAATATTGTCACTTTTTTTAAATTTGTGTCACTTTTTTTTAAAAAAATAATTTTGTCACTTCTTTGAGTTTGTTACTTTTTTTTATTATTTTATCACTTTCTGAGTGTGTCACTTTTTTTTTATTGTCTGTCGCTTTTTTTTTTTGTGTAACTTCTTTTTATTTATGTCATTTTTTTAAATTAGTCACATTTTATAAATTTCTATCACTTTTTTGAATTTTTTTCTCTTTTTTTTTATTTATTACTTTTTTTTTAATTTTTGTCACTTTTTT